AGAGAGATGGAGAGAGAGATGGAGAGAGAGATGGAGAGAGAGATGGAGAGAGAGATGGAGAGAGAGATGGAGAGAGAGATGGAGAGAGAGATGGAGAGAGAGATGGAGAGAGAGATGGAGAGAGAGATGGAGAGAGAGATGGAGAGAGAGATGGAGAGAGAGAGATGGAGAGAGAGATGGAGAGAGAGATGGAGAGAGAGATGGAGAGAGAGATGGAGAGAGAGATGGAGAGAGAGATGGAGAGAGAGATGGAGAGAGAGATGGAGAGAGAGATGGAGAGAGAGATGGAGAGAGAGATGGAGAGAGAGATGGAGAGAGAGAATCTCGCAATTAATGATATCAGAATTGCACCCCGGGCCGCGCTTCCACGCGCGGCACGAGAACGCGCGCCCCGACGCTGCTGATGTGGAGACCCAGAAGGTGGTAAAGCGGTCCAGGGTGCGCTTGCTTGAGTCTGGTTGCGCCAGAGCCGCCACGCGTGACTGAGTATTTGTATCACAGCCCGACGGGGCTGACTCGGACGATGCGAGGTCGAAACTGGTCAAGAGTTTTGCTGATCGCACCTCCGATTGCCACGGTTGGCGACGTACGGTGCGAAATAAGTTCAACATACATCCATCGCTTAAGCAAATGCTGCTGTGTAATAATACATAAAGTTATACACATCTCGTCAAAGACAAAGATCCCCCCGTATAGCCTTTATCACACTATTGGGGCAAGTGCTGTTTGCGAGCACCTATGAAGGCCGAATGGTACACGAGGAGGTGGGTGGCTAGCACCATGCCCGGCCGCCTTTGTTTCCCCAGTGGCGATGTTTACACACTGCACCGCCAGGTATTCATTTGAGGCTGAGTCGACCTAGGGGAGGCCCAGGACCGGTTCAAGTAATCGTCACCGGTGTTGGCCCGTGAGCGGGCATGGAACTCGGGTCGCCGTGCTTCGAAGCGCTCACCGCTGCCATGACCGCATCCCCCACACTTTCTCCAGCACGTAGCGAGCTCGAGAAAACAAGACAAGCCCGAATTATTTCCTCATCAAATGAGCGCCTCACCTGTGTACAGCCAATTTGTGGAAATTCCACATTCCAAATGGCGGGGCGAGGCCGGGCGGATAAGTCTATCCATAGGACCCCAAGGAAGAGGTTGTGATTTTATCGACCCCTACCTGCAATGATGATTGGCTGTGATTGTAAAATTGCAAACTTCCCAGAGGTCGTAACGAATACAAAACTATGGTACGGGGCTGTTCACGAATCATTAACTTCCTTTCTTCAATCATTGTTCGGCGTTGTTGGCAGTCCGGGAAGATACTTAATCATTGCACCAGTTTGGGCACGTACAATTATATGTACGTCTATACAAATACAAAGTTCCCCCGTGTAACCTTTAACAGACCGTTGGAGTAAAGTGCTGTTATCGAGCAGCTGTGAAGGCCGTAACGGCACACGACGGGGGTGGGTGGCCAACACCACACCCGGGCGCTCTCTCTCTCCCGAGTGGCGATGTTTTACACACTGCACCAGGTACTCATTTGAGACTGAGTCGACCTAGGGGAGGCCCAGGACCCGGTTCAGAAAATCGTCACCGGTGCTGACCGTGAGCGGGAATCGAACTCGGGTCGCCGGGTTTGCGTCGTGTTGCCACTCGAGTGATCACAATGCATCCAGTGCAGGTCCACGCTTCTGCTTCATTCCTAACTGTGAAGGACTCCATGCCGTGCTGGGCTTGGGAGAGGTTGTTTGACCGTACATCACCGAGCAGGTTTTAATCATCACTGTGCTGTACCCAGCCTTCCTATTTGGGGGGGGGGGGGGGGGGGGCAAGCGGGAGATTGGCCGGTAGGTTCATAACGCGGTGCGCACCACCACTCCTTCCATTGTCACGTTACACAACTGAAAAGAGCAGAACACGTCCACGATTACAACAACAACAACAACTGACCACATTCACCAATAACACTGCGTTAATAATAATAACAACAACAAAACTTATCGTTGTTATTTGTGAACCACTGCACCGCGCAGCATCAACAGAGAATTCGTTTCACGTTGACGTCCAAACGGAGGAGAATCACTGAGAGATGTTCGTGATCACAGCGATGCGATGAACACGAGTACTTTTGTAAACACCGAACTTGCTCATGAAAATCAGAGTACCAACGTTACCTGATGAATTAATGACGGGTATGACGCAGGATGATGTAATGGCCGAATAATGATGATGGTCGGATGATGATGATGGTAGGAAGATGATGATGTTGAAGGTGATGGTGGTGATGATGGATGCTTTGCGGCAGAGACTGGAGATTCTCCCAGAATTTGACGATTCCTAACGTCAAAGAACCGTCGTAATAATCCATCATCATCATCATCATGAAGTGCAGCCACTGCGAAAAGAGAATGTTATGATGAGTGTGATAACGATGATGATAATAACCGTTTCCTAGCAACGGCTTTAGTTGCCACCTTGGTGATGACGCTGCTGCACTGTTAACAACAAGAACAACAGAACACGCCGGGCCACAACAACAGCGTGGCCTTGATAAAGGGGGAAAATATATATGTAATATAGCAGATGACGTTTCAGGTGATGGCCCTCCTTCAAAGAACACACCAAATTAAGTGTATGAAGGACCTTTACCTGAAACGTCGCCTATTCTATATTTTGTTATTACACTACGGCCACATTGTTACTGGCGAATGTGTTGAGGTTTTTTGTTTGTTTGTTTAAGTCTTCACGGTTCACAGCTGTTTTACCTGAACCCGGAAGGTGCGTTCGTGGGTGTGCGGGGGAGTGCAGGGGAGAGGGGAGAGTTTGGGGGGGGGATGGAATGTTACTGGAGTTATGATTGCCTCGCATTCACTCTCGACATTCAAACGCATTCAAACGCGCCGAGTCCGGCATGCGGGAGCTGCAGAATGTGGACCCGTGGCCCTGGTCGGACCGGAATTGATTGCCCATGGCCTGTTCAGCAGCTACAACTTTTTTAGTCGCCCTGTTTCCTCGTGCCACTGAGAGAGGCACCCCCCGGCACGAGCCGCAAGGACAAAGATCCACCACCACCCTGTATAGCCTTTAACAGACTGTCGGGGTGCTAGTACTGTTATCGACAACCTATCAAGGCTGGCACGGCGCACACCGGGGTACGTGGCCGCAGCAAAGGCAACACACCTGTACCACACACACAGACCCGCCATTCGCCTCTAAGTGATGTCACCACGGCGTCCGTGCCAGGCCAGGTGCACTTTGAGGCCACGTGAAGCGTCGAAGGCTCGCTGACAGGGAGGTCTCGGGACAGACCCAGCAGGTGCCACGGGTTGGCTGACCGAGACGACTGGTAGATGCACACCCACCATTCAACACACACGGCTGACCGAGACGACTGGTAGATGCACACCCACCATTCAACACACACGTGCACACCATCTCACACGGCTTGTTGTTACCCCCCACCCACACGTGGAGCCTCTATGGAATGTTCTGCGGCAAGGCGAGAACCCCGTTCAGGCCAGAGCGGAGGCGTACAACGGGGTGGTCCTGGCTAGTACCGCGCCCGACCGCCTTTGTCTCCCCAGTGCTGGTGATGTGTACACGCCGCCGCAACCGCGCAGATACTTGGACGGAATTGAACTCCGCTCGTCGGAATTGCGGCGCGGCCCGCGCGATAACTGGCGCTCTCCACACACACTGTGTCTCACGGGCAAGCGTGCCAGAGATGCCTTGTATAGACGTTTACAGTCTGACGGGTTTCAGTGTTGTTGTTATTATTATTATGGCACAACAAGACAAATATCCTCCGTACAGCCTTAAAAAAAGACACAGACTTGTCGGGCAAGTGCTGTTAGCGAGCATCTATTAAGGCCGGCACGGCACACTGAAAGGGTGGGTGGCCAGCACCACAACCGGCCGCCTTTGTCTCCCCAGTAGTGATGTTTACACAAGAGCACAAGGTACTGATTTGAGGCTGAGTCGAGCTAGGGGCGGTACGGGATTGGTTCAGATAATCGTCGCTGGTGTTGGTGGTGGCCGTGAGCTGGGGATCGAACCGGGGTCGCCGGGTTGGTAGCGCAGGGCGCTAACCAGTCACTGCACTACCGCTCCCCATATCATGACGACACACACACATATCATGATGCCACACACACATATCATGATGCCACACACATATCATGACGACACACACACATATCATGACGACACACACATATCATGACGACACACATATATCATGATGCCACACACACATATCATGACACACACATATCATGACGACACACACACATATCATAATGACACACACATATCATGACGACACACACACATATCATGACGACACACACACACATATCATCATGAAACACACACATAAGGACACAGCCGGCGGCGCTTGGTGCCAGGCTAGGTGCACCTGCGCGCACCTCCTATGAGCACGGCTGGCTACGTACGGCGCTAAAGAAGGTCAACATGTGCAGTCTGAGGCCACGTACATGCGTGGAAAACTCGCTGGCAGCAATTCACGGGAGCCAGGTTATCACGGGCTGTTTTATATTTAGTGATGATGATGATGATGACTTTGGTGCGCGCGGGCGCGCGAGTGTGTGTGTGTGTGTGTCACACCTGCACGCGATCTTACATCCCCCGCAGTCGACAACACAACGCAGCCAATCGTGAAGCGTGCGCGACCTGCACTGTGGCGATCAATGAGCGGCCGATAAGGTACAGGGGGGGTGGGCACCTTCTTTACCTGTGTGTGCGTGTCATTGTGTGTGTGCGTGTCATTGTGTGTGTGCGTGTCATTGTGTGTGTGCGTGTCATTGTGTGTGTGCGTGTCATTGTGTGTGTGCGTGTCATTGTGTGTGTGCGTGTCATTGTGTGTGTGCGTGTCATTGTGTGTGTGTGTGTCAGTGTGTGTGTTTGTTACGTGTCTCGATCTGTGTGTGCTGTGTGTCTCCTCGTGTGCCGTGCCGGCCTTCATAGGTGCTCGCAAACAGCACTTGGCCCGATAGTCTTTTAAAGGCTATACGGGGGGGTTCTTCGTCTTTGTTTGTGTGTCTCGGTGTGCGGCGTGAGCACTTTGCGCACGAGTCTGTTGAGGCCACACGGGAGGTGATGGTGGTGGGGTAACCTTTGTGGCTTTACCTTTGGTACGAGCGCGGATCGTCGACAACCTCGTGAACTTGTCCGCTGGGCTCCGATCGCCGTGCCCCATGGCCCCGGCCGAGGGCCCCGGGCCGCCCTGGAGCAGCTGGGCGCTGCTGCCGGCCTCGCTGCTCGCCCTGCTCGCGGCCTCTCTCACTCTCTGCGCCACCTGCCGCAGGTACAGAAGCGACTCCCCTGCCGCCTTTGTCTCCCCGTCAGTAACTCGTGCTCGCGCCGAGAGGACGATTGTTGCGGTGTCGAGTTCTCTCTCTCTCTCGGCTGGATGAGCCGGTGAGAGAGATACAATGGGAAATAAAATGAGGACAGACTCAAGGTTAATATGTAGAGTGTGTGTGTGTGATATAGTGCGGCCAAAATTAGTGACGATTATCTGAACCGGTCCTTGGCCTCCCCTAGGTTGACTCAGCCTCAAATGAGTACCTGGTGCGGTGTGCAAACAGAGCCACTGGGGAGACAAAGGCGGCCGGGCGTGTTGCTGACCAACCCACTCCCTCGAGTGCCGTGTCCGGCCTTCATAATGTGCTCGCTCACCGGAATTGCGCCCAACAGTCTGCACGGGGGGTCTTTGTCTTTCTGTGTTTGTGTGTGACGGGACAAACACAGTGTTGTCTGAAGTCGCTTGGATGGAGGCCTTCATCCAGCAGTGGATTGACCATGGCTGATGATGATGACGTGGAGGGACATTACCAGTTTGATGTATTTATTCATTACCGTAATTATACACGGCGCGCATGCGTGTGTGTCTCTAGGGAGGGTAGTCGGATCAAATGAGTTTTTAATGCCGCGTATTTTGAGTGTGGACCCTAATTAAACACCGACTCGTATTCAACATCCCCCCCCCCTACTACTGGATAAAATACATAATTACCACAACAATAATGCCTTTAATTGCCTTACAGAACAGCGGCAATGAGTCTCAAGATTCGCTCTCAGAAGGATGGGATGTTTGGTCATGAATTCCGTAAACGATTGACTTGGCTCGGGTGGGACCTGGAGAACCCAGATACAGCTCCGCACAGATGGATTCAATCCACACCAAAGACAAAGTTCCCCCACGTAGCCTTAACAGGCTGTAGGGGCAAGTGCTGTTAGCGAGCACCTATAAAGGCCGGCACGGCACACAAGGGGGTGGGTGGCCAACACCACGCCCGGCCGCCTTTGTCTCCATAGTGGTGACGTTTACACACCGCACTAGGTACTCATTTGAGGCTGAGTCGACCTAGGGGAGACCAATGGCCGGTTCCGATAATCGTCACTGGTGTTGGCCGTGAGCGGGAATCGAACTCGGGTCGCCGGATTCGTCGCTTCACCACCGCTCTCGTGGAAGTATTAAGAATGTATGTTGACCTTCTTTCGCACCGTACGTAGCCAACCGGGCTATTCGGAGATGCGGGGGGAAAGACAACAAACTAAACAAACTAAACACAAACATATATATTGTGAAAATATATAGTGCATCGCTCCCGGTGGCTTCCTGATGTCGGAGGTGAAGAGCGTTGCAGGCAGACCGCAGAAGCGCATCTGAAAGCGCGCGATGCAAGGAGGCCGTCTTTGTTCGATGGCTGAGCCAAAAGGGCCATTGCTGCTACTGCTGCTACTGCTGCGAGGATGACGACGGGAGGTCGCGTGACGATGATGGTGGTTTACGCTCCTTGACGATGATAATGAGGAGGTGGGAGGCTGGAAGAGGACGAGGCGGCGGTGGGGGGGGGGGGCATGCACGAGGAGTTATTTTTAGTCGCGGCGGGGGCAACATTAACACATGCATTTATTCCGTGACATTTGCACGCCCCGAGTGTGATGCATTCGCGTTATTTTGTTTTAATAAGGGCGACAAGCGAGCGAGCGAGAGTGTGCGCGCGCGTGTGTGTGTGTGAGTGCACGTCAACATTGGGGAGTGTGTGTGTGTGAGGGAGCGGTGGTGCAGCGGTTAGCGCGCTGCGCTACGAACCGAGTTCGATTGGGGCTGGCGACAAAATTTAAAGTGGCGAATATTTGAGCCGGTCCCGGGCCTCCCCTAGTTCGACTCAACCCCAAATGAGTACCCGGTGTGATGTGTGAATATCGCCACTCCGGAGGCAAAAGGCGACCAGACGTGGTGCTGGCCACCCACCCTCTGGTGTGCCGAGCCGGCCTTCGTAAGTGCTCGCTCGCAGCACTTGCCCCAACATTCTGTTAAGACTATAACGGGGGGGGGGGTCTTTATTTTGTGTGTGTGAGAGATAGAGAGAGAGTGTGTGCGCGCGCGCGCAAGTGCGTGACTCATAACACCTGGGTCTGTCCCGTGACTTGCAACGGCGAGGTTTTCCACACTTCACGTGATAGCCTCAGAGTGCACCTAGCCTGGCACAAGCGCCGTGGTGACGTCACCGGCAGCCACTTCGCGGTGAATGTTGACTGTCTTTGCTGTGTGGTGAGAGAGTGCGTGTGCGCGATATAGAGTGTGTATGTATGTATGTGAGAGAGTGCATTTATGTTGGTGTGTGTATGTGGCAGTATGTTAGTGTGTGTATGAGTGTGTGCGTACATCTGGGGAGCGGTGGCCCAGTGGTTAGCGCGCTGCGCTACGAACCCGGCGAGTCGAGTTAAATTCCTGCTCACGACCAATTAACAACGGTGACGAACATCTGAACCGGTCCTGGGTTTTCCCTGAAACCAGTAGCTGGTGCAGTGTGTAAACATCAGCATTGGGAAGACAAAGGCGGCCGGGCGTGGTGCTGTACAACCACCCTCTTCGTGTGCCATGCCAGCTGTCATAGGTGCTCGCTAACAGCACTTGCCCCAACAGTGCATTATAAGGTTATACGGGGGACCTTTGTCTGTGTTCTGTGTGTGTGCGCGCGAGAGAGATTCCGTGCGCGTGCGTGTTGTTTTAGGACATGCGGGAAACATGGTGGGCAAAATATGGGCAGGATAGCAACGGAATTCTTAAATCTATCTGTGCTGACATTTGAGTGTTATCTCCTCGTTTGCGTGTGGGTTTTCTTCCTGCACTCGACTCTTGGAACAAAGGAAAAAATAAATATCACTCCCAATTATACAAAAACAAATTTCATCAGAGTTTTTTGGGTTAGATCGCGTAAATATTTAAATGTGTCGTTAAAACCCGCCACCACCCGACACAGCCAACTAGTAAGGGTTGTCACGTAAACAGAACGTGCCAATTCGTCACTAGTACAGCACACCGGTGTGTTGGAGAGCCAAGCCACAACATTTGCCATCTGAGAACGAAGTTTCGCCAGTAATTACAACTAGCTTCATCAGGCGACAGCCAGATTTGTGGAGAAGTCCATCTGTTTCGTTCCTTATATAGAGGCGTAGATGTGGTGACCATCCTTCTGCGCTCTTGCACAATGAGGGGGTTGGGGGGGATTACTGAGGCAATGTACCTTATGCATTATGCGAGCCCTTTGAACTTGTCCTTCCTGTCTATTGTGTTTATTAAAATAGCTCTATCAACGGTAATCCCTATTGAAGTAGTCTACCGTTTGCAGGCATGCATTTAAAAAATGTATTATTTGATGATTCGCTTCCACGCAGCACTAAGATGGTAGCTATCCGAACGGTTAAAGCTATTTTGATTTATTTCAATGTCGATAGATTCTCTAATTAGTCTTGGCCAGTAGCAGCTAGTTTTGCACAAAACTTCAACATTATCAAAATCAATTGATTGTCCTTGTTGGCACGCGTGTTCTGCTACTGCTGACAGTTGCATTTGGGATAATTTAATATTTCTCTGATGTTCTTTTAGTCTCGTGCTGATCAAATTTATTGGCCAAACATCTCAATGTGGCAGTACCCTCTTGAAAAGGACCTCACCGCTCAGTGAGTCTGTAGCTGGGTAATTTAAAGGATAGCCATTACAACATTTTATAAAATAATATACATATACATTTCAGCAGGGATCTGGTGTTGTGGGAGTGGGGCGTCAGCAATGACCTGTGTGTATGTGTGTCTGTTGAAATGATTTCGCACCGTACGTCGCCAGCCGTTGCTAATCGGAAGTTTGCACGATAACCATTGCAAGTGCAGCTCCTCTCCAGCGTCCGGATATATCTGTGTGGAAGTAGAGCAAAACAAACCACATTTGCCATAAAATGTCTCCCCGGAGCCTCCGCGAAGCTCGTTATGCGCGCGACGTGAATAATCGTGAGATATATCCCCTTAATGAGGAGGTTCCGTCCAGTTGTGGTGGGGCTGGGAGGGAGAGGCGGTGGGGGGGGGGGGGGGGATTGGTGGTGTGAGTACGCCAGCCCTGCTTGGTGGAGACGCGCGGCGTTGTGCTGACCACACCGCCCCCTCGTGAGCGGTGGCGGCGGCAGAAACCGTGACAGGAGGTCAAAGCGAAATCCAGAGGTCACGTCCTTAATTCGTGGCACGTTCTCGGTTCGGCATCGCACCTCCGCTTAGCACGGTCGGCTCCGCACGGTGCGATAAGATGGTCGACGTACCCTACATCGGGGCTAACGGTCTCATTTATTAAGAGAGGCCCGGGGTAAAACGAAAAAATATAGTCACGTTGCAGAAATAGAGACAAATTAGATTTCTAGTTGTTGTTCAATTTATCACGCGCAAGGGAAATCACGGGCTAAGTTGTAATCGAGGTCACGTTGCTTGAATACCACGGGTTGTTAGCCGTGGCCGGGAAGCGAACTTTGAATTTTGCCATCGTGAGCTGGAGGAGCGAGGTCGCGCATTGTTGTTGTTGGGGTGTCGAGTCAAGAATGTCGCTCTCTCTCTCTCTCTCTCCCTGCAGGTTCTTCCCAAAGGCATACAATACATTCCAGGTGAGATGCTGCAGGTTCCAGTCATCACCATCATCATCCTCCTTTGCCTATTAGCCTAGGGGGTCGGCAACCCGCGGCTACCGGAGCCGCATGCGGCTCTTTTAAGGACTGCTCCGTGACGTTATTGACATTGATAAGATTGTTGTTTTGATTTAAAGCTTTCGTGACTGCAGGGATTCATATTCTTGGTTCTTTCGGTAAAGTCACGTAGAAGGGAAACAATAAAAAAAATCTAAAAACAATAAAATTCTCACGACGTTTCGGCTGCAACACAAGCAGTCATCATCATCTGACGATCCAGACTGCCACTCTGCGCCCAACCTTATGTTGGATGACACTTTTGTCATCTGGCCACATGGCCGGCCTGCTCTAGACCAGTGGTTCTTAACCTGGGTTCGATCGAACCCCAGGGGTTCGGTGAGTCGATCTCAGGGGTTCGGCAGAGCCCCCGCCACGGAGGTCCGGACACACTTGAATTATTGTGTAAATTTGTGATGACACACACGGCCCGCTTGGCCATCACTGGCTGCAGATGATCATGCTACACTGCTTGGCCAATCAGCGCTGCGGGGAATTTAGTGCATACTCAGTAGTCAACGTGTGACTGTTGTTGTCGTACGTCGTGTGATTTCTTTAATATTTTATCCATACTAACTATGTCGGGCAAAAGAAGAAACATGGATTCTCATGTATCACGGAACGTGATGGGAGTGAGCGTCCTATCTGCATGATTTGCAACGCCAAGTTGAGCAACTCTAGTCTTGCACCGGCAAAACTAAAGGAACACTTCTTGAAGCTGCATGGAGACGGGGAATACAAGAACACAACACTTGCTGAATTCAGGGTGAAGAGAGCCAGATTCGATGAAAGGGCCACTCTGCCTGCTCTTGGATTTGTACCTGTTAACAAACCGATCCTGACAGCATCGTACGAAGTTGCTTACCTGATCGCAAAGCAGGGCAAGCCACACACCATTGGTGAAACGCTTGTGAAACCAGCTGCATTAAAGATGGCGAATCTGATACTCGGAACAGCGGCCGAAGGTAAATTATCCCAAATTCCCCTTTCAAATGACACCGTCAGTGACAGAATAGAAGACATGAGTAAAGACATCTTGGCTCAAGTAGTCGCGGATCTGATTTCAAGCCCGGCAAAATTCAGCCTTCAACCCGACGAAACCACAGACGTTTCTGATCTAAGCCAGCTTGCTGTTTTTGTACGCTATGTGAAAGACGACATGATAAAAGAAGAGTTTTTATTTTGTAAGCCTCTTACAACAACAACGAAGGCAGCCGATGTGAAGAAGCTTGTGGATGACTTCTTCAGAGACAACAATCTTTCATGGGATATGGTTTCTGCAGTTTGTACGGACGGAGCTCCAGTCATGCTGGGAAGAAAGTCTGGTTTTGGTGCGCTAGTAAAGGCCGATGCACCACACATCATTGTGACGCATTGTATTCTGCACAGGCATGCGTTGGCAACAAAAACCTTACCTCCAAAAATGACAGAAGTATTAAAAACTGTGGTGGAATGTGTGAACTATGTGCGAAAAAGTGCTCTGAGGCACCGCATCTTCAGTGAGCTGTGTAAAGAAATGGGCTCTGAATTTGAGGTACTTCTGTTCCATTCTAATATTTGGTGGTTATCCCGGGGACAGGTGCTGAATCGTGTTTTTGCCATGCGTGTGGAATTAGCCCTGTTTTTGCAAGAGCACCAACACTGTCAAACAGATTGCTTCAAAAATCCTGAGTTCATTCTCATTTTAGCGTACATGGCTGATATATTCGCAGCTCTCAATCATCTCAATCAGCAGATGCAGGGTGGTGGAGTCAATATCATGGAAGCGGAAGAACACCTGAAGGCTTTTCAAAAAAAGCTACCGTTATGGAAACGACGAACAGAGAACAATAACTTCGCAAACTTCCCGCTTCTGGACGACTGTGCAAGTAAGATCGAAGATGTGTCTGGAATCGGAGATATTTCTGTATCCACGGAACTGAAGCAAACAATTGCCACGCACTTAGATGAGCTTGCAAAGTCTCTCGACGGATATTTCCCTACAAGAGAGTCATATCCAGCATGGGTGAGACAGCTGTTCACGTTTGCTGTTGAAACAGCAGATGTCAATGATGAATTCCTCGACGAAATCATTGAAATTCAGCAGAGCCAGGTTCAACAGCAACTCTTCAGAACAACAACGCTCTCAACGTTTTGGTGTCGACAAATGAACAAGTATCCAGTTATTGCTAAGAAAGCCCTGGATTTTTTTTATACCATTTGTTACAACATATCTTTGTGAGCAATCCTTTTCGAGGATGCTGGACATAAAAATGAAGAAAAGGAACAGACTTTGCTGTGAAAATGACATGAGAGTGGCACTTGCCAAGGTGAAGCCACGCATATCTGAACTGATCTCTCAAAGGCAACAGCAGAAGTCACATTGATTTCCAGGTATGTAATTTGTTGTGAGTTTATGCATTGTGTTGGTTTTATTCTTTGAACAAGGTAATGTTCATGCACGGCTCATTTTGTGTACCAGTAAAAAACATATCTATGTCTTGAATTTGAAAAAAATCACATTTTATTGTTCACTAAAGAGGGGTTCGGTGAATGCGCATATGAAACTGGTGGGGTTCGGTACCTCCAACAAGGTTAAGAACCACTGCTCTAGACCAATTCTTCGACCACATCAATTCCATACACCCAGCCATCAGATTTACCATGGAAGTCGAAAAAGATGGCAAGCTGCCTTTTTTGGATGTCCTAATAAAAAAGACCTGCTGGTTCAATGAGCCACTCTGTCTACAGGAAAGCTACCCATACAGATGCTTACCTGAAACCGGATTCCCACCACCATCCATCCCAGAAGAATTCCTTCATCAAGATTCTGCACCATAGAGCCCAATGCATATCCGACCAGGAACACATAGCCAGTGAACTCAAGCACGTACACCACGCTCTTAGGGCTAATGGTTATTCCGACTACACAATCCGCAAAGCTATCACTCCAACCATGAAGAAGGACACTCTTGAGGAGCCTTTCAAAACCATCACTTTACCCTACATTGCGGGGATCACAAGAAAAGATCTCCAAAATCTTGAATAAACACAAGATCCAGGTCTGATTCAACACATTACATAAAATCCGTGATCTGGTTCGTCTGTAAAATATGTGATTCCGGACATACAGTACCCTGGCGTCTACAAACTAAGTTGCCTCTGTGGTAGTAGTTACATTGAAGAAACTAAACGACATGTCTCGGACCGCATTCGTGAATACAAAGCAAACCTGAAACACGGTAGGACCAACACCTCGGCCGTGGCAGATCACTGTTAGAATTCAGTAGGTTCACGTGACATTGACTTCTCCAAGACAGAGGTTCTTTGCAAGCCATCTGGCTACCATGAGAGATTCGTTCACGAGGCTATCCACATATACAAACACAGAGACAATTTCAACCGAGAAGATGGATTCTGGCTTAGCAACCATTGGAAGGATTTGATAAACCATTTCGGGTCTTAATTGATTGATCACGCTTAAGGTGACTTTCAGACCGCATCCATTATTTTTCGTCTCCCCCCTCCTTTTTTCCGAACATAGATGGACTCGTCCATCTGAACAAACTGTCAAATCGCTCTTCGTGTTGCTAACGTTAAAAATAACTGCCACTTTTATCAAATTTTCTTGCTGTGGTTTTCACACCTGATGATGATTGCTTGTGTTGCAGTCGAAACGTCGTGAGAATTTTATTGTTTTATATTTTTATTATTTTATTGTTTCCCTTCTACGTGACTTTACCGAAAGAACCAAGAATAAGATTATTGTTGTTGTTTTATATATATACCTAATTCGATTAAAAATGTCTCGTCTTATTATTTTGGTTTGCCTACCCCCCCTCCCCCTTCCATGTTGGATCTTCGCCGCGAGATATTGTGACCCACCCCTCCCTCGCCCGACCCGAGGGGGGGGGGGGGGGGTCTGACAGAGCTAATGACTTCACAGATCAAGAACCCTAAATGGTAACGGAGACGAAGTGTAAAATCTAATGCGTGGCTCACGGAGCCGGGACATTTAACCTCGTAACCCATAAACAAACACACCGGCACGGATGGGCAATCCGCGATGCATTATTCATCGTTCGTCTCATTAGGCATCGCTTTCATTCGTAAAACACACGCGGGCAACGATCCCTCGGCATGGGCTGAACAGACTGCTGGGGCAAAGTTGCGCCTTTGAGCGAGCACCGATGGCGGTGGTTAATCCCCTCCGCATTACAATGGAGCGCCGTGGGCTCCCCGCAAGAGTGAGTCTCACGCCAAATGCGTGAGACGGTGAGAGTTGACCCAGCTTCACACCCCCTCCCCCCACCGCGTACCCCCCTCCCACCCCTACCCTCTCACAGGGGGATCGGCTGGAAGAGGGGGGTGGGAACCCCGAGGGCATCTATTCACATCAGACCACGGGTGAGTCTTAACGAATTACTTAATTGAAATAAGAAATCGCAAAGATGCCAACGTCACCACTCCCCCCCCCCCCCCCCCCCCATTGCCAAACTGTCAATGCACACTCGCAGGGCGGTGTCTGCGTTTTAGCTTGTGCCCTGCAGGGACAGCTGTTACCAGGGCGTCCCATTGGCTAAACAAATATCTATAAACACTACAGAAGGCCATTGGAGATGTAAGAGAGGTACTCAGTTGAAACTAACTTTTTTGTTCGCACCGTATGTAGCCAACCGTGCTATTCGGAGGCTCTTCCGCCAGCAGTGGCTTGAGGAAGCAATAGCAGGGCCGCACCTTTACCTGGCTCCCTGCTAGTAAAAAAAAAGAAAAACTTAATTTGAACCGATGCCAACAATTCCCCAAGATCTGCGGTCCTACATCTGGATGTTTGGTCAAATTCCATACGCACGGGGAAAAAAAACAAACCCATATTCAATCCATGTAAAGATGACCATCAATCCACTTGCTGTACTGCCGTACCCTAGCAAGCCAAGAGATGACGACGACCTTGACACCCACGGGTAGGGAGTTCAACGACATCTCTGTGTGTGTGCGTGTGATCCACCAATCCCTCGCCTCCAAGGCGCTCGATTGCAGGCGTCCATAGCCACCAGCGCCGGGCAAACGGATGGAGTTTGAGAGACCCCCAGTATTAAATTGGGCAGGTGTGGGGATGTAACATGTCAATCCACTGCTGGACGAGGGGGCCTCCCCACACCGTGTCGGCCACGTGGGTTGTTTGACCATATTTCACCACGCTGGTCAGTGCTGGTTGATGAATGGGGGGGGGGGGGAGGGGGGGAATGGGGAGGGGGTATCCGTTGACACATCACTTGCCAGCGATGTTCACAGTGGCAAGATGTTAAATCCCTCACCTGGTATGCAGGGAGTCGTGGGTTCAATCCCGACCCTGACGCCTGTGTATTTTCAGTTTGCATGTTCTCCCCGTGGTCGCGTGTACTTTTTCTCCGGTTACTCTGGTTTTTCCCCTCCACATTTAGAATCAACGCTGCGTTTCGAGCATGTGGCTGCTACAAAATTTCTACGCGATAAGCCACTTCGTTGGGCTATCACTTGTGGCCAGGTAGCTTCTTGAATAAATAAAAAAGCTATGTAGCTCAGTGGGCCTCACCTGCTAAAATTAAAATAGTTTCGTTTTTTAAAGCTTAGTTTAATATCGCTCGCCACTGATGTTCTCCGTGGCCGTGAATCGAAATCGGGTCGCTACCACCGTGCTTGTGAAGCACACACGTGCTCCTAAACCACTGCGCCACCGCTCCCATAGCTGTCAACCCACACGGTTTACCCCGTATTCTCGTACAGGGAAATTTAGTTTTTCAGGTCCACACGGCGTACAGCCGTTTCAATAGGGGCAACATCTTGTTTTATCTATTTGTTTGTGTTTCTCCCTTGTGGTGAGACTTTGTGGGATGAACGTTGAGATTTATAAGGGCGTGGGGTGACCAATAAGGTCTGAATTGGTCTGTAATAAGTTAGGAGGCACTGATAAGTCATTGCCAGCTATGCGCTCCCCAAAATTGGGACGTGACTCAGAGAAAAACAACGGCAACTGTGGAGGAGTAGGAGAAGTAGAAGGTGGGGGAGGGGGGGAACCGCCCGTGAACAGATTACTGCGTAATCAGCCCACACCACGCGGCCACAGTGGCAAGTCTGGTGAACGAAATCTAAGTTCCCCCCCCCACCCTCCATCATCGATTGGTAACTATTGCTTCCTGCCCAGGGCCGTACGAAGCTACGCTCTGCACACTCAGCAAGCAATCGCGCGGAGGCAGTTGCCACCCAGGTCACGTGTTGGGTACACCTCGCATCAACTGGTTGTTGTCGTTGTTGCTGTTGGTTGCTGTCGACTGTTCAGTTTTATTTTCTAGCGCTCCCCAAAGTGTCCGCGGCCATCTGACGATCCTGCGATGCAATGGAATCGTCCGTGGTGGATAGACACTCGAATCCAGTGGTTGAATATCACTCATTGGTTCTCCTAGCCGTGTTGAAGACTCGGTCCACCAAGGTTGACTGTGCCCGTCTCACCCCCATGCTGTGTTAAAAAAAAAACCCAAGACAAAGATCTCCTGTAAAGCCTTTAACAGACTGTTGGGGCAAGTGCTGTTAGCGAGAACCTACGAAGGCCGGAAGGGTACAACGAGTGGGTGAGTGGCCAGCAGCACGCCCGATCACCTTTGTCTCCCCAGTGGCGAAGCTTACACACAGCACCAGGTACTCATTTGAGGCTGAGTCGACCTGGGAGATGCCCAGGATAATCGTCTCTGGTGTTGGCCAATGAGCGGGAATCGAACTCGGGCCTCCAGGTTCGTAGCCGAGGGCGCTAACTGCAGGTCACCTCGCATCTCTTTCCGCCGCTTCCCTCGCCCTGGACCGCTCTACACTGGCATCCCCTCCCCTCATCATCGTCTCTATCCCCACCTCCATTCCCCCCCCCCCGCCCACCCTCCTAATGTTCTTATCAATAACCTTTCTCGATTCAAGAAGCGTGTTGCAGTCTTCTTATCTAGCGCACCTTCAAAGAGCGCTGCCTACTGCTGCTCGCTTGGCGTTGTGGGTGCGATCACCACAACAACAGCAGCAAACAGCAGCAACAAACTATAAATACATTTCATTTCTTTTTATTCTTCTCCGGTGTCGCTGTTTAGACGACGCCTCGTCCCGGCGTGACTCTGCGTCCCGCGCCACGATCCAGATTCCCCGCGTCCGCGTGGCCCCGCAGAAGCCGCTCCCCGCCAGCGCAGGCGGTGGCGGCGACAATGGCGATAACAATAAAGACAAAGGCGGCCGTGACAGCGACGCCGTGATGATGGACAACTCCTTGTACCAGTCAGTGGATGAGTTCTCGGCCCCCGGAGCTCCCTCCACCGCCACCGCCCCGACGGAGCTCTACGCCACGGTGCTCAAGCGCCAAGGGTCAGCGCCGGCGGGGTCAGCGGTGGGGTCAGGAGTGAGGTCAGGGGTGGGTTCAGTGAAGGTCAACCCGGTTCAGGACGGAGCCACCCGCAAGCCGCCCGTCCCACAGGTGAAGCGTGCACCTGCTGCACGCACCAGCTGCGCTTCTATCAGCTGCGCGCACCCACGAAGCGCTTCGCAGCTGCGCACACCAGTCGCGTCTCTTCGTTTGTGTAACGAGGGCCCCCGCGCTCCCTCTCTCGCTCTCTTCGCTTCTGCAGGTGGCGGCAGACACCGGCGACCTGTACGCCACCGTGGACAAGTCGAGGTCGCCAGAACCTCGGCGTGGGCGGCCCGGCGAGGTCGCCCCCATGGCGCTCCCCGACCTCGACGATTCCATTTACGAGGCCATCCTCGAATGAGTCGCTCCGCGCCACGTGGTGTGAGAGCTGTGGCCATTGAAGGGGGGGGGGGGGGGGGTGACGTTTCATACACAACCAGGACAAAGATAATCCGTGGATTGTCTTTGTCGACTATTGGGGGGGGGGGGGGTCAAATGTTGTCCGCGAGCACCTATAAAGGGCAGCCCGGTGCAGGGCGGGGTTGGTGTGGTGAGCCGGCTGGCTTTGTCTCCCCCAGCGCCGACGTTCACGCAGCGCACCGGGTAGTTAAATAGGGCTGAGAGGATCGAGGGGAAGTCCAGAGCTGGTACCGGGTAGTTGAAAAGGGCTGAAGAGTGTCCGAGACCGGTGCTGATGTAACTTCTGATGTCCGCACTCGGCCCTTAAGTGAGTGCCTGGTGCGGTGCGGAAGCATCGCCACACGGCGAGACAAAGACGGCTGCGGGGAGGCGCTGGCCACAACCACCCCCTCGGTGTGTCGCGTTGGCCTTCAAGAAGGCACTCGCTAACTGCACTTGCCCCAACGGCCTGTTTAGGCTACACGGGGGATCTTTGCCCCTGCCTTGTTTGCGTGTGCACCAGGTGACCTTGTGGAGGCGCGCCACGTGGGAGTGCGAGCAGGTGTGGTGCAGACTTCCAAACCACCCACCCCACACAGAGACAAAGATCCCCTGCGTAGCCTTAACAGACTCTTCGGGGCAAGTGCTTTAAGCGAGCACCCATGAAGGCCGGCGTAACACACGAGGCGGTTGGGTGGCCAGCCCCACGCCCGGCCGCCTTTGTCTCCCCAGTGGGGATGTTCACGCACCGCACCAGTTACTCACTGGAGGCTGAGTCGACCTAGGGGAGGCCCAGGACAGGTTCAGATAATCGTCGCTGGTATTGGCCGTGAGCGGAAATGGAAATCTGGGGCGCTGGCTTCGCACCCACAACAATACACAGCTCTCCGATGTGCGTTCGGGTCGTGCCCGCGTGTTGCTCGGCGCGATGTCCGACGTTTCGCCGCGCATGCTGGGAGCTTCTCCAGGAACTGTACAGCACAAACCCCTACGCGGGCGGCGGTGGCTACGCTGCTGCACGCGGCTGCCTGTAATCCAGCGCCGTGGAGGTAGCAGCAAGGGTTGGTGGATCAGGCACAGATGTTGTGAAACTCCCTTCCCCTGGAGGCATCAAAGAGTTGCGGTATACTCCCGGCTCTGCTACGAGAAGGCAGTACAGCAAGTGGAGTAATCGCCATCTGTTTCCACATCAGTACCGGGATAAAGCGTTGCCCCCTCGCACGTGGCGTGGGGTTTCCTCCGGGTTCTCCGGTTTCCCGCCCACTTGTATGAGAATAATAATGAGCGCAACTCGTCATTAATTGGCTGTAAATATTTTCGAATAAGAACCCAATGCAGGATGCTCTTGAAAAAGGGTCGTACGACTCAGTATGGCGTTTCTGGATAGACGAATACATAACTCAGTAATTAACTTAACTTTCGTAACTCCTTAACCCCATGCCGCCAGACCCATTAAGCCCAATGGGGTCATCACCGCGGTCATTTGCTGCTGATGCCACTGCGTCCTGCAAAGTTTACACTTGATGTTCGAGATGAACTTTTACAGACTCATCTCCACCGCCATCTGCCTTTAGGACTTCCTGTTTTTTTTTCCATGAAGTGCGCGTGGGTTTCACATCCACATGCATAGTCTCATCACAGCCACTCGGGTTTTCTGGTTGATTGGCGACCCTCCGAGTGGCACTGCAGTGGCCCGTCTCGAAGACAAAGGTCCCCCTGATAGTCTTCAAAGAATGGCGAGGCAAGCGCTGTTCGCGAGCACCTTATGAAGGTGCGGAACAGCAACACGTGGCCAGCACCGCGCCCGGCCGCCTTTGTCTCCCCAGGTGCGATTGTTTACATACCGCACCAGCCACTCATTTGAGGTTTCGCTGCGCTACGAATCCGGCCACCCCCGAATTCCACTCCCGTTCACGGCCCCAACGTCGGTGGCGATTATCTGACCCGGCCCTTCGCCTCCCCTAGGTTGACTCAGATGATGACTACACCTGGTTGCGATGTGTTACCATCGCCTTACTCGGGAGACGTGCGGTGGCGTTGGCCACACACTGCCTCGTGTGGCGTGCGGGCCTTCATGTAGATGGTTGGACGCACTCGGTTACTGATCCCCTGGCAATGAGTTCCATTACAGGCCATGGCTATAACGTCAGTGGTGATTGGTGTCTGGCGGAATCGGTTCTGCCCCCCCCCCCACCGCTATCCCCTTTCACTAACTCGCACTGGCGGTCCGCTATAGGTGATTAATGTGATGCATCACATGTGTCATAGGCTGCTGCGGCTTACGTTGAGTACAGCGCAGCAAAATCAGTTGTACTGTACTATCCTCCCACGTCTATGCTCTCCGCCTTCACTAAACTGCACTGACCAGCGTGGTGAAGTATGGTTAAACAACCTCTTCCATGATCGGGACGGCGCGGGGAGGCTTTCATCCAGCAGTGGATCGTCGTGTGAATGTTTTGCTGTACTGTACATTGGTTTTACTATTTAAAAGCAAAACTGTTCCCATTGAAACCGAATTACTGGTGCGTATCGATTCGCTGCTCCCGTCGAAATTCAAAAATATCTATTTTTCGATTTAAAGCTTTCGTGACTGCAGGGATTCATCTTCTTGGTTCTTTCGGTAAAGTCACGAAAGACCCAAGAAGAATATTATCTATTGTTTTGTTCAACATTGCGGGGTTTTATGAAGTATATACATAGCGTCCTCCAGTGGCTGGAAGGGGCTAGTCACGTGATTGCGCTATGGACAGCACAACACGGTTGCAAACAAACATAGATTATTCTACTCGGTTCGATGTACGTACGTTATGGGTCGTTTAATAAAGGAGAGCAGTCTAGTATTCCAATCATCGAATGGTTATTGGAGATACTTATCCGTTGATTGCATGTACATACCTGTCAACCCATGCCGTGTATCCGTGTTCTTGAACAGGGAAATTGAGTTTTATTTTTGTTTGTCAATTGTTTGTTTGCGTTTCTCCCTTGTGATGGGATTTTGTCGGATGAACGCTGAGATTTCTAAGGGCACGGGGTGACCAATAAGGGTCTGAATTGGTCTGTGATAAGGCAGGGGCACTGATAAGAGGTTGACAGTTGTGCATGTAAGTACGTATGTTGAACTTCTTTCGCACCGTGCGTAGCCAACCGTGCTAATCGGAGGTGCGGGATCCCGGGTCTCGTGAGTTTTCACGTGGCTAAAACTCTCTGTAATAACATTGAACATCGAAGCAAAAAATTATCGATTTTTTTTTAAAACAACTTTAATCGCGACGACAAATTCGTGATAATCGGATCGAGTGGGGGTTGGGTCTGCTTGGCTCTACATTGGCTGAGCGAATGATGAGTTGTGGCGCTGCCACGTGTTCTTAGTCGTAAGCGCTTTGTAGATATTTTGATTTAACGCCTTTGCTCGTCAACGACGACAACAAAACATTCTCCAGGACAAAGAGCGCTTATAACGAATCGGCGTTGTACGGGGTGGGGGGGGGTGTATGCGTGCACAGGTACTTTCAACATTCAGAAACGTTTGTACCTGTGGCACAGCGCCACGGCAAGTGGGGGGGAGGGGATGGGGGGGACTAAAGTCAAGGATGTTAGTGCGTAGGATAAGAGAGAGAGAGAGAGATGTGAAAGGGAAGCCGAGAAGCTGAGAGGGGTTACAAGATGAACGGGGGGAAGGGAAGGCATGCCGGGACGGTAGTCGCCAAGACGGACGGCGAGGAGGAGGGAGGAGTAGCAGGGCACGACTCAAGATGCACACCAAAGTGTTTGCCGCAAATGAACCACGGCACCCTCGCTGATCTCGTCCATGAGCATGAACTCGGCTCATCCTCGCATACGGCAGCGATGTTTTTTTTGTTTGTTTGCGGCTCGGCCATCGAACAACGACGTGGGGCACCGCCCTCGCGCGGCGCTTCCAGGCTTCCAGGTGCGCTTCCGGAACGTTCTTCCTTCCGATGCGAGGAGGCCACTGCAGCGATGCACTTTTGAAGTCATCTTGGTTGAAAACTCATTCGTTTAGAACTGCTCATTGTGTTTTACTCTGTTGTCCTTCCTCCGCACCTCCGATTAGCACGGTTGGCCACGTAGGGTGCGAAAGAAGTTCAGCATACACGCAGCCCAGGATGAGCGGCGGGGAGATAATAAGGAGCGGCGCCCGTACGGAGGAGTGGGGGGGGGGGAATAAGAGGATCAGGAGGGGGTGGGAGAGGGCCGAGATGGGTGATGATGAAGACAGAGATAGTCAGTTTAACACGTGGGCTTTTGCGACCAATATCATCCATAATAGAGGGCTTTTTGGGGTTAGATCGCGTAAATGTATGAACGTGTCGTTAAAACCCGCCACTACCCGACACATTTATATATTTACGCGATCTAACACAACAAACCTCTATTACAGAGAGAATCACAACTCCAAGTGATTCTAGCAGGTGGCCCCAGATCCTCCACCACCCCCCACCCCTCAGATGTTCGGTACCGTGAGATGTCAATGTCGCCCTCTCGCCGGTAGAGGGCGACATTGGTCCGGCGTTCGGAGCGGTGTCGTGGTCGAGGCAACGAAGCCGCCGGGATCTATTCCGCGCAACCCGATCGCTCACAGGCGTCTTCAACATCGCCTGCTGTTTAAGACGCAACTGGTGCATCAAGCAGAGTATTCAGGATTTAAATCAACTACAGGTCCCAAATGTGCGCCACGTGGTGAAGCACGTGACTACAAATCGCCGAGCAGTAGCAGCAGCAGATCGATGATTCAGGAGTCGAGGAGTCCGTCTCTATCGTATGCAACCGGTTGCGCAACTGATCGTAACCGGTTGCGGATACTTCCACGCGTCGTTGCATTCAACTTAGGTGTGGGCCCAACTCAGGTGGGAGGGGCAAAGACATTCCTTGCTGAGGGCTGTACGAGACTTTCAGAATCAAATTTTGCGGGATGTTTCGGTCAAGTTTTATTCTGTTTAATCAGCTCAGAATATAATTCACGAGGTCAGGATCAGTCTCATTT